GTACTAATGGCAATGGGGAGGAAGGGGTTAACTTTATTTATCAGGGAAGGGTTATAGGAGTGAGGAGTGTTTTACTAGGGGGCGGGGATGTGTGCTGGGCGGGACAAGGCTGATCGAGAAAGAGAAACTGTTCTTTCTCGATCAGCTCATCCTCGAGCTGACAGGGAAGTGACATACAGCACAGCTACTGCAGCTGTGCTCTCTGTCACTGTTTGCCGCCGATTGCCGGGACATGGCCGCTAAGGAGCGGCTGTGACCCGGCAACTGACATCTGCAGCGGTGAACCGCGGGACAAATAGGGCGGCGGCACGCCTCGCCCCCTATTTGTTTACAAAACACACGTTTTAAAACGTGGTTTTGCCTGTGAGTGCCGCCCTGCCGCCGTATATGTACAGTGGCTGGGCGGCATGCGGTTAATTTCTCTCATCATATACTTCTATAAAATAATTTAGTAATTGCATCTATTAATACCCATGCTTGAAATTTAACTTTTCTGGTTTGTTTTCTAGTTAAGCAGAGATTCAGTTTTAAAAAGAAACTTATGCAGGCCATAGATGGGGAGAAAAACTGCAGATTTTTCTTTTTTAAAAAAAACGAAAAATCGGTTGTTCAAGTGGCCGACGTTACCATCAATGGTAAAAAAAATCGGCCGATTTTCTACCCGTCTAGAGCCGGCAAAAAGTGTCCCTGCAGAGAGCTCTGCTATTTCTTTGACAGTTCCTTGACATTTATAGAAGTTGCAACAATGTATCTATTTGTTTCCATTTAGGATACAGATGTTTTTATTCGGAAACAAATAGATACAATGTTTCAACCGCTGTAAATGTCAAGTTTCTGTCAGAGAACTGTCAGAAATAGCGGAGCTCTCTGCAGAGACACTTTTTGCTGGACTGGAATTCTTCTTATTTTCATCCTACTTCTTCTTCTTCTTCTTCATCCTCATCCTCATCCTCTTCTTCTTCTTCTTCTTCTTCTTCATCCTCATCCTCTTCTTCTTCATCCTCATCCTCTTCTTCTTCTTCTTCTTCATCCTCATCCTCTTCTTCATCCCCATCCTCTTCTTCTTCATACTCATCCTCTTCTTCTTCATCATCCTCATCCTCTTCTTCTTCTTCTTCTTCTTCCTCATCCTCATCCTCTTCTTCTTCTTCATCCTCTTCTTCATCATCATCCTCTTCTTCTTCCTCATCCTCATCCTCTTCTTCTTCATCATCCTCATCCTCTTCTTCATCATCCTCATCCTCTTCTTCCTCTTCTTCTTCATCCTCATCTTCTTCTTCTTCATCCTCTTCTTCATCCTCATCCTCTTCTTCTTCTTCATCCTCATCCTCTTCTTCTTCTTCTTCTTCTTCATCCTCTTCTTCATCCTCTTCCTCTTCTTCTTTTTCTTCTTTTTGTCTTCCTCTTGCAGGTCACTGCTCATGCGCAGATTTTTTATCGGTAAAAAATCGGCCGATTTGCCCACTAATTGCCGCGAAAATCGGCCGATCGGCAAAATCGGCCGATTTTTTTCCAACTTTACCGAAAAACAAAAACGGCCAAAATACCGAAAAACGGCCGACCAAATCGCCCACTAACGATCCGAAAATCGGCCGATTTTATTTTCGGCCGAAAAATCGGCCGATTTTTCGACCCGTCTATGGCCTGCATAAGTCCAGTTATTAGTAAATACCTGTGTATTCCCAGAAGACAACAAATGTGCCTCTTAGTCTATACCAGTGTTATCAGATGCAAGGAGTGCTGCTTCTGTAAATAGTGCCAGCCTCTGTCTTTGTGCTGCAGATGGCCTCAAGTTCTGTGATAAAGAATAAAGGAAGCAAAGGAAAGTCTCCCACTCATCTGCTGCCTGCTGTCACAAGCCAAAATCATTCACAGAAGGGTCACTGCTGGCTGCTATAAGCACTGGCTACAGGCCGCAGGCATCTTTCAGGTCTACATCAGCACCTAATGATAGCTAATATGGTAGCTCATGACTGCCTAATACCTTGGCTGTGTTTCTCAGAAGATTGAACTCCTTTACTGATTTTGAGATTAAAATGTTATATGTTAGGGTGTGCTACCACTTAGCTACTTGCTCTATATGGGCCCTTTGTGACATTGCTGGTAAACTTGCCTTGCTTACATATACCATAGACAATCCACTGAATTTTCTGCAGTCCTTGAAATCACAAGCAATTTTACCAGATACAGTTGTGTTCAAAATAATAGCAGTGTGTTGAAAAAAGTGAATAAAGCTCAAAATCCTTCTAATAGCTTTTATTTCCATACACACAAATGCATTGGAAACACTACACATTCTATTCCAAATCAAAACATGAAGAAAAATATATCAAATTTGTGTTGTTCCTCTAAAAAAATTTAAGAAAAAATGAATATTTGACTGTTCAAAAAAAATGCGGTGTTTGTATTCTTCTTTACAAACTCAAACATTCACTATATAAACTGAAAAATGTTTGAAGATTTTGCTTTCCTTTGAATCACTTCATTAATATTTAGTTGCATAAGCACTGTTTCTGAGAACTGCTGTACATCTGTGTTGCATGGAGTCAACCAACTTCTGGCACCTGTGAACAGGTATTCCAGCCCAGGATGATTGGACTACATTCCACAGTTCTTCTCTATTTCTTGGTTTTGCCTCAGAAACTGCATTTTTGATGTCACCCCACAAGTTTTCTATTGGATTAAAATCCGGGGATTGGGCTGGCCACTCCATAACGTCAATCTTGTTGGTCTGGAACCAAGATGTTGCACGTTTACTGGTGTGTTTGGGGTCGTTGTCTTGTTGGAACACCCATTTCAAGGGCATTTCCTCTTTGCGGGGGCTTCTTGCAGATAGTTTGGCTTCACATAGGCATCCTCTAATTGTAACAGTACTCACAGATTACTTTAGACCTTCTTTGATCTTCCTGGAGCTGATTGTTGGCTGAGTCCTTGCCATTTTTGCTATTCGTCTATCCATTCGAATGGTAGTTGTTTGCTTTCTTCCACGTCTTTCAGGTTTTGGTTGCCATTTTAAGGCATTTGCGATCATTTTAGCTGAGCAGCCTATCATTTTCTGCACTTTTTTATATGTTTTCCCCTCTCCAATCAACTTTTTAATTAAGGTACGCTGTTCTTCTGAACAATGTCTGGAACAACCCATTTTCCTCAGAATTTCAGAGAGAAATGCACTGTAACCAGCATGTACATTTTCTGCCTTCCTTCCTTAAATAAGGGCAATAATTGCCACCTGTTTTTCAAAGAATGAATGACCTTACTAATAGAACTCCACACTGCTATTATTTTGAACATGCCCCTTTCAATTAGTGATTCAAATACACCGAATCAGCAGCATGCATGTCATGACTGTTGGGTCTGTTGGATTTCAATTACTCTACTACACCTGCTAGTAAGTTATTTGCCATGTAGAAATATCATTTCTACCAAAAACAGTGATTGATCAGGTTAGTGATGTCTGACTGCTATTATTTTGAACACAACTGTATATGTAATAACTTTGTATAAATTTATATTGTGGATAAGCATGTTTTCAAGTATCTGAGTGCTTTCCACATCCAAACAATGTACCATGACATAGAAGACACTGACTGCCTGAGTTGAGGTCTGAGTTCCATTTCCACATCCAAATGATGTACCATGACATAGACCTCAAATCAAACAATCAATGACTTCTGAGTCCCATGCCCTATACAAAGTGTGATGGATTTCACTCTCATGGTAGTCAGTTGACCATTATGTGCTGCACACCATGCTCACTAACGATAAACCTAATGGCAAGCCCACCATACATGGTACAATCTTACAGTATAATCTTTTACAATCAACCTTAGGTTTTGCCAAAACTGTGTAAAATGTTGACCTACCTATACTATCCAATCAATCTGCATCAAGCCATGGAGGCCCTTGCACTACCTAGTTGTTGGTAAATCAAAAAAAGATCATATAGTCAGATTTTGACATGTATGGAGAGCTTTACTGGCAGAAAGTCAGGGCTGTTCAGCACTTCACAGCCAGCTGACTCCCAGCAGTATGAAATCATGGCTGTGTGTGTCGTTCAATGTACAAAATGATCATGCTTACAACTTCATTGCAAACTCTCGTTGCGTGCAAATAGTTCAGATGCTGTTACATTTCTGTTCATGGATTACAACACACACATATATTTTTTGTTGAAATCATCTTTTAGGGCTAGTTCACATTAGATGCAGTCCAGTGTGGTTTTATTCTGCATCAAAAATGCATGCACAGTGTTTTCCTTGTATTCCAATGGCCCTAGTTCACACTAGTGCAGTCAGTTCCAGTCAGTTTCCCGTGCACAAAAAAAGTAGAACATGCTGCATTTTTTTTCTGCACAGAACTGTACTGGAACATAACAAACTGCATCAAAACGGCACCGGAACAGAGTGTGGTGGGAACTGTAAGCAAAAACGTATCTGGAATGCATCAGTAGTGCATTTTTGTGGTGTGAACTGGCCCTTGAGAATCAATTATGTGATCTGCTGTATGTATCAGAAGTCTCATTATTCTCTACTGGTATACATCTAACAACAATATGTGATCTCATTCGGTATAATAAATATAATACTTTCCTTATGGTGGAAGTGTTGAACAATTGAATTATTGGGGATCTGTAAGAACAAAATATTTTGAGATTTATCCATGTGTATATTAATTCTTTAAAAGTATTATTTATATAACTGAACTGTGCAATATATTGGATGTTCCCCTTTCAAACAAAATGGGGACAATTATTACTCAAGGAATCCACAGACTAATAATATAAAAGTAATATGTTCTATGACCAAATGTACTGTATATGAATTAGGAAATATGAATGCACCCTTGATTTATATCACTCTTTGAGGGGTGTCTGTGGTCAAAACTGTACTTACTGCACTGATTACTTTTTAACAAACTGTGAAAATAATTATATAGCTTGTACTAGAATGGAAATCCAAAACAAATTATTACATAACAGATTATATATTGTTATTTTTAAGCTATGTGCCAAGCCAGCGTCACACAATACAAGTAGACTATGTGGAATACATGGATGAACTGGCCACAGTTCTTGGAGTAAAGCCAGATCTGCTGCGTCTCTTCACTACGGATCCAAGATTGGGCTTTCAGGTGCTGTTTGGACCCTGTACGCCTTACCAGTTTCGGCTTATGGGGCCAGGCAAGTGGAGCGGTGCCAGAAATGCCATCATGACACAATGGAATCGCATTATAATGCCGACAAAGACCCGCACTCTTAAAATTTCTACACAAGATGCATATTTTCCAAGAATGCTATTAGTGGGCGCAGTTATGATCATCTTGGCCATTTTTATGTTTCACTTTTAGGTGTACATTCATTTTTTTATTTTAAAATTTTCAGTTTTTCACTGTACATAGAAAATGTATACTTTTCCTTTGCCTTAATAACTGATATGCTTATGAAAATACACTATCTTGCCAAAAGTATTGGGATGCCTGCCTTTACATGCACATGAACTTTAGTGCCATCCCAGTCTTAGTCCATAGGGTTGGCCCACCCTTTGCAGCTATAACAGCTTCAACTCTTCTGGGAAGGCTGTCCACAAGGTTTAGGAGTGTGTCTATGGAAATGTTTGACCATTCTTCCAGAAGCGCATTTGTGAGGTCAGGGACTGATGTTGGACGAGAAGGCCTGACTCCCAGTCTCCGCTCTAATTCATCCCAAAGGTGTTCTATGGGTTTGATGTCAGGACTCTGTGCAGGCCAGTCAAGTTCCTCCACCCCAAACTCACTCATCCATGTCTTTATGGACCTCGTTTTGTGCATTGGTGCACAGTCATGTTGGAACAGGAAAGGGCCATCCCCAAACTCACAAAGTTGGGAGCATGAAATTGTCCAAAATGTCTTGCTATGCTGATGCCTTAAGAGCTCCCTTCACTGTAACTAAGAGGCCAAGCCCAACCCCTGAAGTCAACCCTACACCATAATCCCCCCTCCACCAAACTTTAACTGGGCACAATGCAGTCAGGCAAGTGCCGTTCTCCTGGCAACCGCCAAACCCAGACACGTCCATCAGATTGCCAGACAGAGAAGCGTGATTCGTCAATCCACAGAACACATCTCCACTGATTTAAAGTCCAGTGGCGGATGCATCCGACGCTTTGCTTTCCACTTGGTGATGTAAGGCTAGGATGCAGCTGCTTGGCCATGGAAACCCATTCCATGAAGATCTCTACACACTGTTGTTGAGCTAATCTGAAGGCCAAACGAAGTTTGGAGGTCTTTAGCTATTGACTCTGCAGACAGTTGGCTACTTCTGCGCACTGTATGCTTCAGCATGCCCTGACCCCTCTCTGTCATTTTACGTGCTGTTCTTATGTTGCTGTTGTTTCCAGTTGCCTCCACTTTGTTATAATACCACTAACAGTTGACTGTGGAATGTTTAGTAGCAAGGAAATTTCATGTATGGACTTATTGCACAGGTGGCAACCTATCACGGTACCACACTTGAATTCACTGAGCTCCTGAGAGCGACCCATTCTTTAACAAATGTTTATAGAAGCAGTCTGCAAGCCTAGGTACTTGATTTTATACACCTGTGGCCATGGAGGTGATTGGAACACCTGCAACCAATGATTTTGGCAATATAGTGTATATTAAATTAAATGCAAATAAAAAAACATATAAATATTGTACAAGGACACAGGTGAATAATGCTGATACTAGAGAAGAGTGAACATTAGTAACAGGCAAGGAAACGCTGGGGGGAGATTTACTAAAATGAGTGTGCAAAATCTGGTGCAGATATGCATAGAAACCAATCAGCTTCCAGGTTTTATTGTCAATGCTTAAAGCAGAGTTCCATTCAAAAGTGGAAGCTCTGCTTATTTCCCTCTTCCCCCCTCCACTGCCATATTTGGCACCTTTTGGGGGGGAGTGGGTTTTGACAGGTACCCGCTCCCACTTCTGGCTCAGTTCACCCCTCCTCCCTCCCGCAGTCTCCAGGGAACTTTCACAGGCCCCAGGAGGTGCCGGACCAATTAGGAGGTGCAGCGTGACTCGCACATGCACAGTGGGCACCAGGCTGTGAAGCCACAAGCTGTCACAGTCTGGTGCCTACAATTGAGATGCTGGCGCCATTGAGGAGAGAAGGGGAGAAGGGACAGAGCAGGCGAGAACATCGCTGGACTCCGGGATAGATAAGTGTGTGCTTATTAAAAGTCAACAGATACAGTTTTTGTAGCTGCTGACTTTTAATAAACACAAAAATGGCTGGAACTCCACTTTAATTTAACAAGCTGAAGTTAGAAGCTGATTGGCTACCATACACAGCTGCACCAGATTCTGAATGCTCCAGTTTTAGTAAATACTCCCCGACCTTGTATTTTATTTAAAAAATGCTTTTGTATTGATTTCTTTTTACATTAATGGGTCTGCAAATCTTCAAAGGTTCTGTAAAAAAGTTCTATAGGTCAAAAAGAGAAAGAGCCACTAACAACATTTACAGTTAAGTGATAATATGTATATTTCTGTAAAAAAAAAAATAAGATCCATGTCTAGTATGATTTATCTTTTTGATCTGTAAGCCGTTGGTCTGTGTTAACTTCAGCTTTAAACTAAAGGAGACACAAAGGTGACAATTAACAGCATTCTTCCATGTGGTATCTGGACAAGATGTCAGCTGTGAGTGGAGTTAAAAGTTACAGTAACTACTGACCTCACAATACCTCAGTCATAATTTAAATATATTTAGCTGTGGCAAGTACCACATGCTTAAGCCATGAATGCCCCACTTTTCCCGTAAACCAGTATTGCCATTTTACATTTTATTTCAGAAATTGCATTTCACAAACATGACAAGTATGCTGACCAAAAAAAACATGAGCAAATGTATTCCTTTTGTGGGGGATATCATTCTTCTCCCCTGCTAATGCAAGAAATAAATATATAGGAAAATGATGGTTCCTCAATAATCCATAGCAAAGAAAGCAAACTTTGTTGTGATTGAACACAAACTGTGTACTGTGGAAATCCATTTATAGATAGCTGCATTTTATATTATTAATAGTCTACATGTATTACCAAAAGCACCTAATGCAACATGCAGCCAGGGGTGTATGTACCGTGAGGCAAACAAGGCATTTGCTTAGGGCATAATTTTTCAAGGGGGGGGGGGCGCGCTGCCCCCGGAAGAAGGGACACACGCAGCATGGGGATCAGGTGGGATTCAAGAGAGAGGCTGTGGGCTGCATGACGATGTATGCAGAGGCCGACTCTCCTTCCCTGGGATGTCCAGAGCCGTGAAGGTGATTGTCTTTCTCTCTCACCGGGGGGGGGGGGGGGGGTGGTGGGTGTATGGGAGGCAGGGGTGGACTGAACGAGGGCCCTGGGTCAGTAGGAGGCCCCATGAGATGTCCCTGGTACTTTTTCATAGGCTTTTTTGGGTGTGGTTTGAGTGTGGGTGAGGACACAGGGGCCCCATGATCCCCTATTGCCCGGGGGCCCCATGAGTTGTCAGTCCGCCCCTGATGAGAGGGATGTGTTAGTGGAAGGCTCTCAGCTGGGGGGAAGGGGGGTTGTTAGTGGAAGGCTCTCTTGGCTGGCAGAGGGAGGCTTTTGGCTGCATCTCTCACGGCTGAGGGTCTGTGACAGTTTCACAGAGCCCAGCCAGCACACTCCCCCCCTTCCGTTCACAGACAGGAGAGGAGAGAGAGATCAATGTGCACCATCTCCTCTCAACCCTCTGCTCATGTCTGCCCTGCCTATACTCCAACTGAGAAGATGAAATGAGAAGATGTGTGGGTGGGAAATTTGAAGCAGTGTAGCCGAAACTACATGGTGGTTGCAAGACTGATTCCTCTGCTGGAGCCACCAGATACAGACTGGGATGAGTGAGCTCTGCACTATGACTGAACTCTCCCCATCTCCCTCCCTTCTCTCCCCCATCTCTCCCTCCACCACTCTGTTCATGTCCAGTTAGCACTCATGGGCAACAGTACTATTGGGAGAAGGCTGAAAATCTGCTAGTTGGATAAACTGATGGGGATTTTACTCACAAGTTTATGGTTCCTCTGTTTTAACCCCTTCCTGCCCGGCCCTAACATCCCTCTATTGGCTTGTTTACATGTGTTTTGGTCTCTAGAATCAGATCGCTCTTCAGAGAGCATTTGGCAGGCAGTGAGGAGGTGTTGTATCACCTTCTCACCACCTGCTCTAACCCCTAGATCCCCACAGTAGTACACTGCAATGGTGTGTGTGTTGCACAGAGTTGTGGGGTGCTTGCAGAGCAGCTCCATTAATTTGAATGAGATGCAGTAAATAGGTGCTGTGCCTGCATAAAGCAACTGAGGGTAACATTTCTACCATGGACAGGAAACAAAATATCACAGTGGCAGCATGTGTACACCCTCAGCCCTATGGTGCTAGCCATCTGTAAACTTTTGTAAAAAAAACAGGCACTTTTCTCCTGTCCATGTCTTTGTACTGGTAAAAAGTGCTTGTAAAAATCTCCTTGTTAGCTGTGAACTGCGCATGCACTATCCTGGAGTCAGCCTATTGGAGAATTGCCAGGCTCTGCTTCAGATTGGACAGCAGGGCAGGTCCAGGTGTGCACCAGTACAGAGATATCATGGAGCCTATCAGGGATGGCTTATATTCGCACTGCACCAGTTTAGGCTGAGCCTTGCAATTCACTATTTGGCTGGTTCCGTAAGTGCGCATCTAGTAAGGGTTTGGTGGAAGATCTTTACTGGAGTGGGGGCATTTTTTTCTGGGGAAAGGGTGCTTTGCAGAGTTTAGCCTGGGGGGTAGGAGAGGAGGGAGTTTTTTTGCTGAGGGGGAAGGAAGGGGAGAGATTTTTCTTCGGGGAAGATTTTTGCTGAAGGGGATTTTAGCTGGGGGGTGATGAGGGGGGAGATTTTTTGCTAAAAGTGAGGGGGTAATTTTTGCTGGCTGAATTGTTCAGAATTGTCTGTTTGTTATCCATGTATTGTAACAACTGACTGTTGACTGTATATTCTATATATTGACTGCCCATTGATAGCTTATGTATTGTCAGGACTGACAATTTGTGCTTAAATCTTGCTAAATCAGACTTGTTTATAGGACTATATTACTGTAAATGAAAGCATAACTAAAATCTTTTTATATTTGTGGATAGAAGATGGATTAGGACGCCTGTCAGGTTTTTATTACTGTCTGTGCCCCATTAAGATGATTTGTCCCGTTTACCGTTATCATTGAAAGTAAAAGTAGAAATGCCAAATATTGAGTTGGAACATTATTGAAGCTTAAATTATTACTAAAAGCAAACATGTATGCCTTTAAATGTTTTAGTTTAGTATACAGTGGAGATTGATTAGAACACT